GCACTGATTCATGCTGACCTCCACAACTTCAATAACCAGGTGTGCTTTAGGAAAAACAATCTTAGAACTTCAATGTTAAGAAATTCATAAAGTGTACTGGAACTTACGCCCAAAAGTAAAAATACAACGGCTCTTGTTGATACCTTCAGAGAGTGGCAATAGCCCTTGTTGACATTCTCAGAGAGTGGCAATAGCCATTCCGTAGAATGAATTAGATATTTTATATTTAGACTCAATCTGAACAATGATGAATTGTTCTGTTCTAGGATACAAATAATGACGTCAATATTTTCTGAAAATAATATAAAAATAGCAAAATTAGATGATAAACATAAATTAGATGAGACTCATTCATTAATAACAAAAAAATTAAAATATGATGACAATTACACTGGTAACTTTTTTTTATTACAAAATTTCAATTGATTCTTTTATTTTTTATTTTTTTTGTTTAGACAATAGCACAACAACAACAACAACAATCGAACAATTACCCGTTGAAATCTGGCGTGATATATTTGATTATATGTCATCATGTGACATTATACAAACATTTAAAAATCTTAATTATCGTATCAATTATATTATTAGTCAAATTCCTATGCATATTAATTTATCATTAAATATTACTATTCATATATTTCAAAATTTATGTCGTAATATTCGTTCATTTAATAATTTAATTCGTTCATTGCTATTATCTAATAAAGATAAAGGTGATGCCATTCATATATTTTATTTATTATTAGATATTAGAGAATTTATTAATCTTGAAAAATTTATATTAATTCATCCAAAAATAGATGATTTAATTGATATTATACCAAAATTAATAAATTTAGAAAATCTTTCAACATTAATTATTGATTCTAATGAATTATCTGAAAATATTACTCAATTAATTTTAAAATTAAAATCATTAAAAATATTACAAATATTTACAATTGATAAAAAAAATTATATTTTTTTAAAAAAATCATTATCTATTGAATATTTAATTTTAACTGAATGTGAATTAGATATATTTAATTATTTACCAATAACTATTAAACATTTAACAATAACTCGTGAAATTGAAGATTCATTAACATCAATTTCTAATTATTTTATTTTTTATTCTAATTTAATACATTTAAAATTACGTATGAATTCATCACAATGTGAAATTATTTCTCATCTATTAAAATGTATTAGTCATACACCTAAAATTATATCATTTGAAATAGCAGATTATCATTATCGTATTCGAAAAGAATGTTATTCTGGTCATTATTGGTCACAATGTCTATCATTATTACCATTATCATGTAAAATTGAATTATATGTACATGGACCAATTGAAATAAAACATGATATTGATCGTATTACATTAAAACAAACATTTGAAACACAATATTTTTGGATTGAACGTCAATTATCTGTTGAAATACATTTTACGTCATATTTTCTCCGTTTTTTTACTTTACCTTATTCAAAAGAAATTTATACGATACCATCTAAACATACACTCATAACAACAACAACAATAGCAACAACATGTGAAGAAAAAAGGTAAATTTTTCTGTTTTTAGTTTGTACACAATGAAAATTTGCAGCTTTTCCGGCTGATCAAAAATATGTAGTTGTTAATTTTTTGAAAGTTTCTTTTAATGTCGAAAAACTTGACAAACGACGATGTTCAAATACTTATGGATTTTCAGTCGGAACGTTCTCTCATTCTCACGAAAAATCTACAATATCCAGAAAAAAAAATGTCTAGATATTCTCGAAAATAAAATAGACCACAATATCTCAGAACGACAAAAAGCTTCA